GGCGCGGGAGGCGGACCTGCCTCGCGGGGACCGGAGGTGGACTTGTCCTTTTTCTTTGCCTCGCGTAACGCGCCAGGACTCGGCTTTCCGTCGGCGCTTTTTCCTTAAATATGTTTTTATTGATTTGAGAGGGAGCGGGAGAGAGAGAAGCATCAGTGACGAGCGCCGCGGGCCGGCCGCCTCCTGCGCGCCCCCTGCTGGCCATCGGCCCGCAGCCCGGCCTGCGTCCTGATCGGGATTCGAACCGGGGGCCGCTTGGTTCAGGGGCCACGTTCAACCGCTGAGCCCGGCCCGCAGGGCAGGAATAGAGTTTTTATTTCGTTTTGTTTTTATCTCTCATCCACATGGTAGTGAAATTATATATAATATTGAACCCAGCAGTGTTAATTCGAAGACCTGTCCTAGGTTGCAGTTTTTTTCTGTTTTATGGGCGTGCGTTTGTGTGCCTGCTTTCTTTGTCTGTTGGAATGTTATTTTGCTCTTTTGTTTTTTTCCCCTAATAATAACAACTTTGTCCGGGATTTGGCTCTGATCTTTTTCTGTTAACTTATTTTACAGTTTTTGAGAATTTTGGGGAGGCAGGATTCGAGATAGCTTTTATAACTCCTGTTGCTCCCTGCAAAACTGTGGCCTCTTATTTGTTATGTAAATATTTCTTGGCTTTGCTTCCCTCCACCACTCAGTCTGGACTTTTTCTTAACGCCTGTCATCTCTGTGCTGCGGAGCAGACTCCCCTACCAGCAGTTCTCTCCTCCGTATTGGGCCCTTTTGGGGAAAGTGGTCCTAGCTGACTGGTTTTTGAGGATCCTAGACAGCCCCCACCCGTTTGGATCTTGGGTGCAGCCCTTGGTCTCACCCCCTTTCAGACGCCCTTCTCAGACGGCCTGCTGCACTTTCTGGTGACCGCCAGCTGTCTTGTGCTCGGGCCTTCTTTGCGCCTGGCCTCTCTCAGCTTCCTGCCTGTGAGAGATGACGCCCTGCATGAATTTGAGGGGTGGGTGGTTTTATGCTCACCCGTTTGTCTTTCTGACTTTGTTGACTAGTTGCAATTGTTGTCTGCACACTCATAGTGTGGCTGTCTCTTGACTCCTCCTTCACGTGGGGATTCGGAGGCATTTGAAAACTGTACCTTCCCCACTGCCATTCCTGGGTTTCCGTGTTGTTAACTGTCAACTTAACGTATACTTAATGAAGCTGATTTTTTTCTTTAAAAATTATCTCTGCAGAGAAAAAGAAACTTGGACATAGAATACCCGTCCTTTCCAGGAGAGCGCCCCCTGCAGTTCAGAAGAGCAGGTCACAGTTCGGTGGGGGCAGCTGCTTCCCTCTCAGAAGCCTGGCTCAGGTGTGCAGAAGGATTTCAGGATGCTCCTGGGACTCCGGTAAACTTCAGTGAAACCTCCTAATTCGGGCGAGGGGTTTCCCTTAAATCTGGAAGTTGTTATATAGTAAAGGAGGTTTTCCCTGTGCGTATGTTAAAAAATTGACAAATTAGTTTACCTGTTTTTTACTTATGTAGACATGTTTGTGTAATTAAAAGTATGTATGAAAAGTTTAATTTCATAGAAGAGTTTTCTGTAGGTATTACTGTAATTTTAAGTTTATACTGAATAGGTCTAGTAAATGCCTGAATTCACCAGTCACCTTGAGGAAACAGGTGCACATGGTGCAGGCGTGGCTTAGCGCACTGAGGGCATTGGCCCCGGTGCCTGAAACTGCTGCAGGTAGTCATGCCCAGTGACAACAGAACCAGTTACCGTGGGCATGGGGTGTGATCGCGTGCTAATCGCTCTCAGAACATTGTTAACCAGCAGTGACTCTTGGATTTAAATATGTAGACTATAATTGTAGATATGTAATATTTATTTATGTCGGCAAAATTACTACGGTGCTTTTTCCAACATATGGCTTATTCCCCAAAATTTGTTACAAATAACAGTGAATTAATAACAACAAAAATAACCTGTTAATTTAATTATAAGCAAATCTCGGTTTAAAGCATTTTAAAATTAACAGGGTATTAATTTTCACCTATGACATACAGACTGGAAATTTTGTCCATTAGATCCAAATTCTGTTAAATCAAGAACCTCGAAATCGAGGGTTTACTGTAGTCATAAAATTGTTTAGATCCTAGTGTTCAGGTCACTGTAATTATACTTCTTTGGAATTCCCATTCTTAATTTCTTTCAAGACACTGTCATCGGTATATACTTTTTCCCTCATCCTTGAATTCCTTTAATAATTATGGAAAGTTAGTATTCACCTCTTTATGCCATGCAGAATCTTTATACTCCTATTTTTATATACGAAGGATACCTACTGAGAATTTCTGAGAAGAATGTTCTCAGAAGAGCACTGAGCATCCTCTTTAGAGGAAGTGTGATGATGAAATGCTTATACATTCAGATACATAATGAGGTTTTCTGGTTAAATTTTGTAAATGCAACTCTGAAATACTTACAATATGGAGTAATACTATTACAGACTGAATGTTAGCTTTCTGTTTAGATGCAGGAAAAATATAAAAGTACTTTTGTAAGTACATGAAGAGTCTGTGCTTTGGGAATAATTATTGATGAATGTAAATAAAGGAAAACAGGAATATGTTAAGGAGGGTGTAGTTAAGGTTTTGAATATTTTACAAAGTATTGTTGGTTTTTAGCCGTTGTCACGTAAATTACTGCGTTGTTGTTGTTACTGTCATGTTTATTGTTATTGTTATCTACCTACAGTCATCAACAGCTGAAAAGGAGACTGTTACAGAAAAGCCCCTGGAGTTGTTTGCAAGTCCCAAGAAAGGTAATGTGTTGTTGATTTCTTAACAGAAAAGGTGGTAGGGTAATATGTCCTTCCTTGACTTATTTGCTTTCTTTTAAAATGTTACTTATGTAGTTTGGATAGACTATATATTCATGATTAAAAAACATCCCAACAATGTAATAAGGTATTTTTTTGACAAATCTCTCACCTTTGTTACTACCTGCCCCATTTTTCCTGCCTCTTATGGTTAATTATTAAAATTTTTTGTGTGCCCTCACTGGGTTTACTGTTATCAACAGAGCCCAGTAGGTTAGCTCAGGCTCATAGCTCCAAGGTTTTTAAAAAAGTCTGATTTGCGAAATAAAATCATGATCTATAATTTTTATACTTCAGGCCATGAAATTCTTACCTGGTGAATTAGTTAGGGACGGCTTTTAGTTACAGATAGTGTGAAATTATAGTAGAGTGTTTGAAGAAATGGGGTTGAATTTATCTCCTGCAACAAGAAGCGCAGGGAGCCAGGCCCTTCCTGAGCCCTGCTGCCGTAGTGTGGGCTTGTCCCTGTGGTTATGAGGTGGAAGCTGAATTCCCCAGGCCCAGTTCTCGGGCAGGATGGAGGGTCGGAGGATTGTCTCCAAGTGAGCTTTTCACCTGGGGAGGAATTCCCTCTCCAGGACCTCTCGTTTGGCCAGAACCAAAGGGACTTCAGTGGAATTAAGGGTTTTTAAACATGTAATTTGCTACTCGTATGAATTGGGGTTAGGCTGGGAAGAGGAAGGGTTGAGAGTCAGGCAGGTCACTGGCTCTGCTGCCACGCTCAGCTCTGCTGTGGGTGGGCAGGAAGAGGGGCATCTCTTTCTGCCCCTGGTATCCTGTGTCCTGCTGTGTGATCTTGGGGAAAGCAAGCGAAACCTGCTGAGCCTCAGTTTTTAAATCTGGAAAATGGGGAAAAGAATGTGTGCCTCACTGAATTATTGTAAGCTAAGAAAAAGTAATAAAAATGCTTAACTCAAATACTTACACTTAGTAGGTCTCAGTTGATGGCAGCAATTGCTGTTTTGTCTGATGGCAGAAAGAACTATGTGAAAACCTGCTCAAGGTTCTGTAGGTGGGAAAACTGCAGACACTAAACACTTTAGGCTATGCTGTTGTTTCACTGACATTTAAGACGGTCCTTTTATGCAAATGAAAAAATGTCTCAAATTTTTAAAAATTCCTAAAATTCTGTATTTTAAAATAAACTGGCACACGTTCTTTTTATAATACCAGAACATTGTAATACCAATCTTCTAAAGGATCAGTAATTGAAAAAAATCTAAAAATAAAAAATATATATAGGTAGCTTGTCCCTGGCTAAACCCCTGATCCTGTCCCCAACGCCCCCTTTTCTCTGACTCTCCAGTGAGCTGACAGCAGCCTCATCTTGGCTCACTTCTTTTCCATGTTTCTAGAGAGCCAAAGCAGCCCTGTCTAGTCTCTCTCCTGTGGCCCTTCGTTTCACTGGCCCCAGCTTTAATAAATGTACTCTCAAAATAAAAATAAAAATGTAATGTAACTTATCTCTCTGGGGATAGAATTTTTCTATATCTTGATGGTATTAGTGTCAACACAATTATTTCAAGGGTTTTTTTTTTTTTGTATTTTCATTTGTGCTCCTGTAATTTTTCTTGTCTTTTTGTAACTTACTTTAATCAGTTCTACTTCTTTTTGCACTATGGTTTTCATTGAAAGGCTCTTCCCTAGGTTGTACAGAGAACATTAGGCAGGAAGGTCTGACATGAGACACTGTCCCTACTTGCATCAGAAGTTGGTGTATTTGTAGCTTTGTCAAAGCAACATGCCTTAAACTTCATTCTGATAACTACATCAGCTGAGTGTTTTTTATACATTTTCTTTTTCTCTAACAGAAACTACTACGTCTAAGAGTATCAGTGGGCTCACAGACATAACTTGGAGTTCCAGTGGGAGTGATCGGTCAGATAGAGGTAAACCACCTTTTAAATCAAAGAGACAACAGACACGGTTCTAGAATAGATAGGTTTTGTAACAGGAATATTTTATGTCCAGAAGATGGGACCAGTGAAGGTAAATTGATAATTTTGTAAGAAATCCAGTTTCTATTATACATTGGATTCCATATTGGAAAAAAGTTACGTTCCTTTTCTACATTTCTTAGCCTTGATTATATATGATCTTCCTGAGTCCCAACCTCTAGGCTAAGCCTTTTAGAAACATTTTCTCATTTAATATTTCTCATAATAGTTCTAAGAGGTAGTAGGTCTTACCAGTAGCGTTTTTACAGTTAACAACTTAAGCTTGAACCTGTGAGAATTGGTTAGGGTTCCGCTTTGGATTTCTTTCACGACAAAGCCAGTCCTCTCAACTAACTCCTTAATGCCACACCCTTATTGCCTCCTTGTTAACCTGTTTTGGGTAAATACTGTGACAGCTAATGTGTGGTAGAAGTATTACTACCGCTAAGTTTCTGTTCTGATAGCATTTTGTAAAATATTCTGCTTTTGACAGTTAAAATGGGGTTTCTCGGTCTTGGCATATTGCCATCTGCAGCCAGTAATTCTCTGGGAGGTGAGCTTTCCAGTGCATGGGGCGTGTTTAGCAGTATCTCTGGTTTCTGTTCACTAGGGGGCAGCAGCGTTCCCAGGCCCAGATGTGACAACTGAGAAAGTCTCTAGAGGTTGTCACATGTCCCTGATAGTACAATTCACCCCCATTTGGGAACCACAGACTTAAAATTATGTAAATCGTGCTGTTTTCCTTATTTTAAAATATATAGCTCACATAAGAGTGTATAAAAGTTTAATGCTTTCAGAATAAGCTTTGACTTCTTTCCATAAGAGAAGAGTAGGAACATACCTGTCACTATATTTTAATATATACTTAAGTTATTGAGCAACATGGATCTTCTTTACTGAGAATAGAAAATAGATTTAAGAAATAAAATTGAGTTTGAAATTGTATTTTCTAGATGAGCTACAGTTTGTCGACTGGGAGAGTGACAGTGACAGGGAAGACACCAGTGAACACGATGAATTTGAAGACGGCGAGAGTGCCGTGGAGATATCAGACTGCGCTTCCTATGCCGGCAGCCAGTCCTCCGCAGGTGAAGAGGGGGTGTCGGAGCTTCCCAAGGTGAGAATGAATTGTTTCAAACGCTTTTATTCTGTTTATGGCATTTGTCAATCTACCCTTCCTCAAGGATAGCAGCTGTTGACTCCTAGTGGTTTCTTTTGCACTTTATCTGCTTATCTCTAACACGCTTGTGATGTGGTTCTAAACAGGGATAAATACATTGTTGTTGTTGTTGTTAATCCTCACTGAGGATATTTTTTCCATTGTTTTTTGGAGAGAGTGGAAGGGAGGGTGGGGGGGAGAGATGCCCCAAGTGGTAAATACCTCCCCCCATCTCCCCCCCCCACACACACACTCTGTGGCTGACTCTGTGTTTACCAGGGTCCGTGGGAAAGGGAGAAACCACAAACTTGAGCTACGGGCTGCTCTTTGGAAAAGAAAGCGCTTCCTGCCGCCAGTGTGGTGAGTGACACAAGAGCAGGAGAAGACGCAGAGGTTAAGATTTCTGCCACAAGAGGGAGCAAGAAGAGTGGAACATGACCCGCGATAAACCTGGAAAACCCCAGAGAAGCAGCACCCAGGAACTGCACCCCATCTAAAGATAGCCAGTAAAGATACTTCAGATGTGAAAGCAGCAATACAAAAACACAGGGAACTTAAAAAATCGAGGAAATGTGCCATTACGAAAAGATATCAATGATTCTCCAACCGAGCCCAAAGCAGTGCTGCGATCTAGCTGATACAGACGTCAAGAGAGCTGCATGGAGACCTTCAGCCAGCTACAGGGAAACACAGAAAGGCCGTTTGGCGAGATTAAGGAAAAGATACATGAAGACAGTGAACTTTTTACGTAATAGATACAAACCGTAAAGAAGGACCCAGTGGAGATTCTGGAGGTGAGGGAGTCAGAGAGGAGAGAGCGGGTGCAACAGAAAGAACCTGCGGTGGAGCAGAGGGCTGGGAGCCTGAGTAGGCGAGTCAAGGATAAGAGGTGACAGAAACACAGAGCAGAACAGAGGAGGGAGTGGGAGGGAGCGGAGAAAGCCTGTGTGGCTCTGGGACTCATTCAGAAGGGAAACCCATTGAATAATCTGGGCTCCGGAAGGAGAAGAAAAGGAAAGGGGGCAGGAAATTGAATAATAGCTGAAAACTTCCCAAGCTGGGGGGAAGACGTAGACATTCAAGTTCAGAAACTATAAGTCCAACCTACTATCTCAGTGCCAAAAGATCTTCTCCAAGATGTATCATAAAACTATCAAAAGATATTAAGAAGGAATGCTAAAGGCAGCCGGGGGAGGGGGAAAGAATTGGGAGAATTAATATTGTGAAAGTGTCCATGCCGTCCAAAGCCACCTAGATGTAGCACAACCCGTCAGAAGTCTAACGGCATTCTTTACAGAAATAGAAAAAGGAATCCCAAAATTTGAATGGAACCACTAAAGACCTCAAATAGTCAAAGCAGCCCTGAGATGGAAGAACCAAGTCAGAGGCACCAGACTTCATGATTTCAAACTATTCTAAGAACCTGTAGTAATTAAGAAACTGTGGGATTAGCATAGAAATAGGCACATACCAGTGGAACAGAATAGAGAGCCCAGAATTCAGTCCCCTCAGATAAAGCCAACTCATATTCAGCAAAGGAGCCAAGAACACCCTTTGGGAAAGGACAGTTTCTTTCATGCAAAAATGTGAAACTGGACCCGCATCTCGTACCCCTCGCAAAAATTAACTCAGACTGGATCAGAAACTAACACCATAAACCTTGAGGAAAATGGGAGGTTCTCAGCATTGGTCTTGGCAGTTACTTCTTGGATAAGACACCCTAACATAAGTGCTGATGCTACAGTGGCAACTATATGACAGTATATAAATGTATCAGATCGACATGTATATCTTAAGTTTATACAATGTTCTATGTTAAATATATTTCAATAAAATAAGCATATATACAAGTGTTAAGAATATACTCACAGCCCTACAGCCTCAATTCTAGGTACTCAGCCAGATGACCTGAAACTTAGGTTCTCACAAAAACTTAACCATGAAACTCCTCAGCAGCCTCCCCGAGCTGGAATCAACCCAGATGCCCGTCAGCTGCTGAGTGGATGTGCCCACACGATGGATACTCTCAGTATTCCTTTTATAGAGAAGCAAACTGTTTACCATGCAACAGTGTGAGCAAATCCTAAGTTCCTTTTGCTAAGTGAGAGAAGACAGAACCAAGTATGTGACAGTTCTGTCATCGTGGGAAAACGGTGGTGGACAGTGATTGGGCTAAGGGATTAACTACGAAGGGGCAACATGAGCTTTTAGAGTAAGGGAACCTTTTTACATTCGTCACAACGTGCAGACCTGTAGTCCCCAGAGTGAATTTTGCTCTGTACACATGTAAATAAATCAGATTGTCAGAGGGACCCAAGTTGGAATACAGAACGTGAATGATAAAACTCCATGGAAGGGTTTGGAGAAAAAGGAGCTGAATTAAGTAACTTGGAAACATGGCTGCACTGGGAAGTAAAGAGAAAAGCTGTTTTAGCTAACGGTGAGAGCGAACTGTTGTACCAAGGACGGCGTTCTCAAGGCCTGGATTTCGGAGGGGCATGAAGGGGGACGGCAGAAACCAAAGGAAAAGACCCACGTTCTCTCTGAAAGAAGTTGTACGGACTCTTGGCCAAATTCCCTTTTACTTGCCTTCCATTTGCATCTTCCCTTGAAGATGAATTAACATAACCTGCATGGGAGTCAGTTCACACCTCCTATCTGTTCTAACTGCCCACCTGAGAGAACTGAGCTGTGGCCCCCTTTTTCTCTCGCTTTCCATGGAAGTGAGTCAGTACATGAATCCTCGCTTCACTTGCCGCCTCCCTGAAATGCCAGCTCAGGTGTGTGGGGATTTTCCAGGTACATTGTTAGAGGAGGTACAGGAGAGCGGCGGGGTGCGGGTTCACCGTGCCTGGGGAGCGCCTCCTGTGGTTGCCCANTCCAGGTACATTGTTAGAGGAGGTACAGGAGAGCGGCGGGGTGCGGGTTCACCGTGCCTGGGGAGGCTTGAAAGCGCCCCAGATGCAGTGAGCAGTTCATACTCCATTCAGAGCAGGGATAAGTGAAAGTTACCCGAAATAAATATATCAAACACTAAAAATCAGCTATCATATAAATGTCTTTTATCATTATATTTAAAAATGGACTTAAAATCTTAGCTGAGATTCTTTTTAGTGTAGATTTCAACACCTTTTCTTGAGCCTGTGCCAAGAACACAGTGTTCTGTTAAGTCATCCGGTGACGGCGATTGCTGGCCTGCCGCCAACCAGGGCCAAGTTCACTCGGATGCGTCTCCGTGTGATTCTCAACTGCGTGAGGAGAGCTCCTCCTGTCTGCCTGTTAGGTGGGCCTGGAGAATTCGTTGTTTTAAAGCAAGATGATTCATACTTTCAAGGCTTCATACACAAAAAGTGCTTTAATGCCGATAGCCCCTTTCTTTCTGTTTACTGACTTTCCACTCCTGAGTGGGTGAAACACCCACTCCCCTCACCTCTCGGATGAGTATGTAGTGTGTACCCGATGGGCTCTGCTGTCTCATTTAACACCTTGCTGACCAGTCACAAGTGTACTCGTGTTTCCCATCCCAAAGGTCCTTGACTGGTCACGAGATAACTCCTGTCTGCACTTATGTTAATTTAATTTTAAGATTTGAACACACTGTAGAGTTTTGAAAGAGCCCTCTAGACTGTTTCCTTAGTTATCTTTGTTTAGGCTCAGATTATAAGAGGGGCAAGGTCACGTTTCACAAAAAATAGTAAAAAAAAAATCCCACTAGGGTGTGTAAAGTATGTTCTTCTAAGGGAAAACATAGTGAAACTCGATATGTATGTAAAACTTGTTTAGCATCATTACATGTAGATACATGTTATAATACATTGCACTCAAAAAAAAATTAAAAATAAAATATAAAAATAAATAAAATGTTAAAAAATATTAAAATGTATGCAATATGTTTAATTTCAATGTATGGTAATATAAATATAAGCTATGACAAAATAAAGTACATGTAAGTGTATTCAGAAGCTTTCATTTAATATTCAAGTGCAGAAAAGTAGCTGGCCGCATGGGCAAGTCTTGGCTCGAAATAGGCGGTCAGCCTGGTATTTAAGACCATCTTCTGTTCCGCTAAAGAAAACACATATCCAGGAGGCAGTAGGTTCCATTCTAGTCAGGGCACATCCTGGGCTGTGGGCTCAATCCTCAGTAGGGGGTGGGCAGGAGGCAGCTGATCAGTGACTCTCTCACCGTTGGTGTTTCTAGCTCTCCCTTTCCCGTCCCCTCTTTGAAATCAATAAAGACATTAAAAAAAAATTATTTAAAAAAACAAAAGAGCTATAATGTAAACTTTCTTTGGGGGATTTTTCTGCCTGGATTCCATTGGCTGGGCTTGCAGTTAAGCTTGTGTAGAAGAAACTTTGTTTTTTAAACACTTAAATCTTCCTTTAGCAAAAATACTCCTTTATTGCATTTCCAAGGACCTCTGAACAATGTTAAATATTTCTAATATAGGTTAAATATGCATGACATTCCCAGCAAACCTTAGAGTGTTAAATGCTGGGAGGAGTGTACTTCTGCCTTTCTCCATCCTCAAGAGGCTCGTTGTAGTTGTTTGTTGAAAGTTGGATCTGGGTGTCACATCACCGCAGCACTCTGCTCTCACGGGGCCCTTTGCCGGAGCTCCCAGCGCCAGTGCCTCGTTTGCCGTGCTCCCCGGCAGGCCTGCAGGTTTCTTCAGGGCCAGGATTGTTATGAACGAGGCTAGTAGAGGCAAGACAGGCAGATGGATAGTGGCAGGGATTTTTTTAAAAACTGGAGGCAATCTGGCTGGTGTGGCTCAGCGGTTGAGCATTGACCTATGAATCTGGAGGTCACGGTTCGATTCCCGGTCAGGGCACATGCCTGGGTTGCGGGCTCCATCCCCAGTCGGGGGCGTGCAGGAGGCAGCCCATCAATGACTCTCATCCATTTCTCTCTCTCTCCCCCTCTCCTCCTCTTTCTAAAAATCAATAAAGATATAT